ACGTGTGTGTGTGTGTCCAAAGGGGTCTTTGGAGGCCTCCTGGGGGACGGTGACTCCTCTTTGTCTCCGGTTGGCCTGCTGTCAGAGTGTCTTTGTTATGACAGTTGGGCTGCTTTTATACAGACTAAATCACCATTCTCAGCTGTTCATTTACTGGCCTAACCCCAGACAGCCCTCGTGACACCTAAAACACACACACACACACACATCTCCAGCATCATCCCCGTTTACTTCATTGCATCCACTTCTTTTACCAGACAATATGTCCACAGCCACACTGTGGAAATCTCTACGGTTTCTTCTGAGTAGAATGAGGACAAAAAAGTTTGAAACGAAAAGGTGGATGAGGAGGAAGGGTGACAAATCAAGAGGGGGGGGCAAAGGGAGTTTGACCCCTGACCTTTGTGTTGTGGCTGGGGCACAGGGGGGGGTCAAAGGACGCAACAACCCGTGGTAATCAGTAACTACACGCTAGATACGACACACAAAACAGACAGTGCAACTAAATCCAGGCCAGTTTAAATCCACTTTCTCTGTGTAACGGGAAGCAGCAAACATAAACATAACATAAGAGTCCCTCTGAGTCAATGTACAGTAATAATTGAGTTCATCTGGGAGAAAGAAATCATATTTAGAAAATAGAATCATCAGTGATTGTATCCCTGCCTCTGCTCAGCTTGCAAAACAAAAATTGCAATTTGGCCAGATTATCAAGGTATTGTTGCGCTGGAAATGACCTAAAAGTGATCATCCCACTGGCAGATTACTGTCACTCGTTTGGAACATTTATCCTAAAATGGCTTATAGAGTTCGAGTGCAGAGAGAAAGAGAGCATGGCATCATCCTGGATATCTACAGTCAATATTGAACAGCATCGATCTAGTTTGTGTTTGAAGAGGGAAGGCAGGAACATACATTTTTTTTTTTACTTGGTGTGTGTGTGTGTACCTCTGAATGCTGAGTGTGTTTACATACACACGAGTATCCTGGTTTTGAGAATCCACCTTTTAAATTTGTAATCATTTTTAGGATAAACCGTTACATGGAACATTCATAAACCTGGTCATTTATCTCCTACTGGCCCAGTCTCAGGTAAAAAGAGGTTGGTATTGCACATTTCTGCAAACCTAAGGATGATTAGAATGTGGCAGGTTTACTTTGCTTTTCTTTTTTTGAATGTGGAGGTTTTTGCATCGGGGCAGAGCAGGTGAGGCGTATAGTAACCAGTATAAAGAGTGATAGAGGACACACACCAGTGTGCTGAGAAATCTGTGTACGGCCGTCGTTTTAATGCCACTGAATCGAGGTTTCTAACAGAGAACTAGCATTTCTCCAAACCTTAATACATAATGTGGGTTTGTGAAATCTTGAAAGGGCGTTTTCACAAAACCAAACTGCAAATCTGCAAAATCCTACCCGAGATAACTCTGGACACTACTCCTATACTCAACTCTAATCCATCACCAACATCAGTATCTTCCTCATCCTCTTCTTCAAACATGTCAGAGAGAGAGAGAGAGAGAGACAGGGAGAGATTAAGAAACAGTGGGAAAGAGGAAGAGACGTGTCATAACTCTTTCAGGGGTCACACACTGCCTGTGTTAGTGTGTGTGTCTGTGTGTGTGTGTGTGTGTGTGTGTGTGTGTGTGTGTGTGTGTGTGTGTGTGTGTCTGTGCAACAGCTCATTTGTGTGTGTGTGTCGCCCGTGAGTAAATGTTAGAGGGCCAAGCAGCATTAGTGTTACCGCGGTGATGGCACAGGAGTGTAAAGCCAGGGGGGCAATATAAAACCTGTGCTTTTCCCAGAATGCCTTTGTGCCGTGGCGTCTGTGCCAGCTCCCGTTGCCATGGGGATGGGGGTGAGGGGGGTCGTCAGGGTAACACGTCCTGACTCAGACCTTTTCTACCATGACCCCCCCCCTGTCACCTTTCACTGTGTTTCCTGCATCCAGCAAGAACACACACCGTCCACGCCTGTCTCTCTCCCGCTCACCGCCACACACAGTTGTGCGCAGATGTGTGTGTGTGTATGTATGGGCTGCCTGGTTGCTATGTGTCGCGAGCCCAGATGTCTGAGGGCTCCATGGGGAATAATGGTTTCTTTCACAGTGTGTGTGTATGTGTGTGTATGTGTGAGAGAGAGAGAGAGAGAGAGAGAGAGAGAGAGAGAGAGACTTAGAATGTGTGTGTATGTGTGTGTGTGACAGAGAGAGACTTAGAACGTGTGTATCTGTGTGTGTGTGTGTGTGAGAGAGAGACTTAGATGTGTGTGTCTGTGTGTGTGTGAGAGAGAGAGACTTAGGATGTGTGTGTGTGAGAGAGAGAAAGAGACTTAGAATGTGTGTGTGTGTGAGTGTGAGAGAGAGAGAGAGACTTAGAACATGTGTGTGTGTGTGTGTGTGAGAGAGAGAGAGAGACTTAGAACATGTGTGTGTGTGTGTGTGTGTGTGTGAGAGAGAGACTTAGAATGTGTGTGTGTGTGTGTGTGAGAGAGAGAGAGACTTTGAACATGTGTGTGTGTGTGTGTGTGAGAGAGAGACTTAGAATGTGTCTGTGTGTGTGTCTGTGTGTGTGTGTGTGTGTGTGTGTGTGTATGAGCTTGTGTCTCCTTCAGCAGCTCGCAGCAATCTCACCTCAGCAGACTGAATGGGAGTTAGCAACAACACGCACACGCACACACACACACAGCATCAGAGAGGGAAGCGGTGGGTCCAATCTGCTGAGTGCTGGCTCAGATTTGATCCTGATTGTGAGCAGTGAGGACACTTCAGGACACAGCGGGGAGTTCAGTTCGCAGTTGACAGTGAGGATTCAGTCAAAAGGCTGACGGCTGTGTGACTGCTCAGCACACAGTCTCTATAATGCATTCAAAATACAGGAAGTTAATCGTGAAAGAGAAGAAAAACATCAGTCAAGTATTTCAAGTTGGTATGAATTCATTATGGGCTGACAGAGTCAATAGCGTTTCAATTCGCTGTTGTTTTTTCCCGTCCATCCAAAGATGCACTTTATAGTTCCCTCTATAGATCAGCCTCAGCTAAACATCTTGTAAACAAGCAGAGTAATAGTGTTTGATGTCACTTCAAACCAGGTTTCCTTGTTAGTTGAGAGGGTATGATTTCAATTTTGTTTCATATTTACTCTCACTATCTACCCCACTGACTCGTTGCCAGTGTTTTGGTACATTTTGTGAAAAGTAACATAAGAAGTTTAATTAAATCTTAAGTAAAGAGGTAAAAATGAAACACCAAAGTATGGTTTAAGTGCTTTCATCCTTTCACACTTTTTGTTTAATACATATATAACTGTCTGTGTTGGTGATAAATGCGTGTACCTGACCTGTAACGCTGGAAACACACAATAGTTTCTTCTTTTTTTCCATCAGGGAGGTGTGTGTGGCTGTGTTTCAGGCGGAGGGATTCTGTTTCTTTGTCATGTCACAGGACTGTTTATCAGTATTAAATAGAGACTGTTTCATGACCAGATTAAAGTTCCTCACAGTAACTTTATAGGTGACGTATCTGAATATCTCTTGATAATCAGCTGGAGGCTAAACTCTCCTCCCATACAAGCAGCCGTACTATTTGAAAACACTTCACACGGTGGACACTCTCTCTGTCGCACACGCTGCATCCATTAACAAGCCGGTTAGTTTGGTTTTGACGTTGCAGGTCTCAGACAGTTTGTGCCTCTGTCACAACTCAATTTATTGAAGGGATGTTCTTGTTTTTTACTCCATTTGAATATAAATGGCCAAAATATATTTGGGGTTCAGTGCAGTTTCTTAGAATCAGACCTTTTTGCAAAAAATAAAATCACTGATAGCCCTGTTTGTGGTGAAGTTTTCATAACTAATTGTAATTTTGTTTTTTGAGGAAATGTCCATTCATGGTAAGGTGGTATTGTGTATATACAGTTGTGTGAAAAAGTGTTTGCCCCCTTCCTGATTTCTTA